CCTGCTTTGCAAATAAGTCTGAGAGAGCAATTACTTGGTGGCAGAAAGGGTGACCCCTGCCTCGCGGCCTTCGCAGCGCAACGCGACGGGGAAACAAAATCACGCGCAAACTGAGCCCCCCCGTCGCTCAGAAAACTGTTTGCCAAGAGGGGCTGCCCCCAGGGGCAGAGCAATAACTGCAAGCAAAGGGGGGCAAGGCTGGGGTGGGGTCTCACGAACAGGCCGCACAGAGGCAGGGAGGCATTTGTGCTCGTCGCGATGTAAAAGAAACTCTAGCCCTTGGCAGTGGCAGGCACTAAATCAGCATCCAGATGACAAAGACAAGCTGCAATCTGACATCTGCAGGATGAAAGTCAATAAGACACAAGCAGTGGGCTACACTTAGGAATTTAAAACAATTGTGCACCTACAAAATGGGGACTAGCAGGACAATGGGGAGGGTGGGGGAACAGGACGGATTATGGGTGTCGGGGGCAGTCGGGAGAGGGGAGGCGGTGAGAAGGGCAGAGGAATGGGAAATTATGGAGGCAGGGGAGGCAATGAGTGGGGGGGGGGGAGAGGGACAGTGGAGTGGGGGACCGGGGAACAGGGTGACAGCAGTGGCCGGTCAGGGAAGGAGGCGCTGGGGGAGTGGCAGCACAGCGATGGGATAAATCTTTTTCCAAGCTAATGCTTGAAGCCAAAGCACCTGCCAAGGCGCAAGTGGGAGTCCTTCAGTTGCTCAGCAAGCAACCAGCCCAAGCACCAAGCCCTGAGATGATTAGCAACCCCTGCCCAAATGCTTTGGCTCCAAGATCAATAGACCAGTGCACATGTTGTGCAAATGAGTCCACTTCCATCCCTGGGATTGAGACATTGTGCTCAGAGAGGCATATCTGGGATTCATTGATCATGGGATTTGAGAAGGGGATTGTCACAATTTGTCTTTGTTTCTCCAGACTGGGACAGCATTCAGTGTCTGGATTGGTCCCATCCTTTCTGAACTTTTGATTCATGAATAGCTCATCAGGATGGAGACAGCCCCCTGGCCCTTCACTGACTTGAAAATCCTGGGACAGATGAAGGGAGTGAACATGAGGACAATTCCATCCCTCTTCCCCTCCCATGCATCTCAGTTCCAGTAGGAGAAAAGAGCTGATTCCCTTTAGGCCCACCTGGTTCTCTAGGAAGGAGCATCATGTCCTGGATCTCATAGGGGGTGGAGAGAGAGAGATTGGGCAGGGTGGGGGGCTGACTTGAAGTTTCATCTCCTTCCCCTATCCCTGAAGGAGAAAATGCCCAACATAGCTCTGCCTTTACCAAGGATGGCTCACTAGGAAATTAATTTCCTGTCTTTTTTTTTCCAGTTCCCCCCAGTGCTAAGGTAAAACTGCCCCCTTCCGCTCCTGACCACGCTCACCTCCAAGATGTATTGGAGCTTGTCTGTGTCTGAGGATTCTGCCACAGGTTCCCCAGCATGGCCTGCCTGAAGTCAGACAAGGCCCTGTGCAGAGCCTGCAAAGGAAGGCACAGCCATGGGTCATATTTGGGAAATTGGGAAAACTCCTCCTCCCTGCCAATAACCCCATTCTTGGCCAATCAGCATCAAGATTCTGAGAACTGGGAGGTGAAAGGATCTCAGCAGTCTTCCTGAAGGATGGCCCATGTCACCACCAGTGGGGATCAGTTTCAGAACAATTCTAGTCCTACCTTTTTGGGAGGGCCTCCCACAGTGACAGCAAACCCCTTGACACACAAATCCCTCCTTGATGGAGAAAGGGAAGAAGGGAAAAGGGCAAAAGAAGCAAGAAGAAGAGAAGTTGGGGTGGAGGGGTGAGGGACCTGAAAGGACAAACCCCCAATCCTCACAGTGATTCTGATTGACATAGTCCTTGGTAGGCAATCAAATAATCTCAACCAAGTGATTTCTATGCCTAGAATTCAGCTGGTATCCAATGGATCAGACAGAACAGGATCCAAACCATGCCACGTACATTAATCCTAATTCTCAGTCCTCAAGGAGAGATCTTGAGAAGCAGGGGCGGATATAGGGCAGGGTGAGCCCCCGCGCTTCAAGAAGCCCTGCGCATGCACTGTGGCGCCACCGCGCATGTGCCGTGTCAAAGGGGGGGCCCTGCAAAATTGTGCTGCCCTGGGCCCCGCAAAATCTTCATCTGCCCCTGTTGAGAAGGAGTCTTGCTGCTGCAAAGCCATAAGAGTCTATGAGGCTATGTCTACACCAGTTTTTTTGCAGAAGAGGATATGCAAATGGCACGTTCATTTGCATATCTTCTTCCAATTCTTTTTGCAGAAGAGGTTTTGCTGCTAAAAAGCCCAATGCAAATAGGGCCATTTGTTGGAAAAAAAGCTCTTTTTCGCAAGAACCCTTATTCCAAGTTTACAGGATCTTGCAAAAAAGGGTTTCTTCCAACAAATGGCCCCGTCTACATGGGGCTTTTTAGCCGCAAAACCTCTTCCGCAAAAAGAATCGGAAGATATGCAAATGAACGTGCCATTTGCATATCCTCATCTGCAAAACAACCACAGTGTAGACAGTCTGAGCTTGTCCCTGCCTTATGCCTCAGTTCTGCCTGGCTGATGTCAGAGTCTCTCTATGAGATCACCACTGTCCCCCAACAGGCTGAGGTCCTGCAACAGGCCTTTGTGATGTCACTGTGACACCCAACTAGTGTCCTGACTCTGGCCACACTAGCCACACTAGCTAAATTATCTTCTAAATAATTAACTTCTAAATTATCTGCCAGAAAACTAGGGTTTTGAAGTGCCTAAATTATCCCTGGAATCATGGTTAGAGTCTCCCCCCCAACCAAATTCTGAAATGGCATCCCCAGTATAGAGTTCCCAGGTGTCCGATATTGTGTCTTCTGTCCGGTAAAAAAACAAACAGAAAATATAGTATTTTCTGTTTGTCTCGGCCGGAAGGCAGCCCTGGCATTCAGCTTCTCTCTGGGGTAGGCAATACTTTTTGGTGGTTTCCCAGGGGGGGGGGGCTCAACTTTGGTCTCCCCCCCTTCATATCCCCACAGCCGCAGGCACCAGTTGCCCCTGCAGCCTGCTAAATGCAATACGTCTATAGGGAGCTCTTTGTGGCATTAGTGCCGCAGGAAAAATTACTCAAAAATTGCTTCTCTTAAAAAAAGCAATATTCATAAAATCAGAATATTAGGGTTGAAAGAGACCTCAGGAGGTCATCTAGTCCAACCTCCTGCTCAAAGCAGGACCAACTACAACTAAATCATCCCAGCCAGGGCTTTATCAAGCAAGGCCTTAAAAACCTCCAAGGATGGAGATCCCAGCACCTTCTTAGGCAACTTATTCCAGTGCTTCATCACTCTTCTAGTGCAATAGTTTTTCCTAATATCCAATCTAGACCTCCCCCACTGCAACTAGAGACCATTGTTCCTTGTTCCATCATGTGCCACCACTGAGCATAGCTCCATCCTTTTAGGAACCTCTTCAAATAGAGGAATCCTCTCTTCATTCTTCTCTTCTGCACACTAAACAAGCTCATTTCTCTCACCCTCTCCTCATCAATCATGCACC